GCTGCAGTAGTCTAGTGTGAGGGGTTATGGCAGGGGAAACGGTGCTGCAGTAGTCTATTGTGAGGGGTTATGGCAGGGGAAACAGTGCTGCAGTAGTCTAGTGTGTGGGGTTATGGGCAGGGGAAACGGTGCTGCAGTAGTCTAGTGTGTGAGGTTATGGCAGGGGAAACAGTGCTGCAGTAGTCTAGTGTGAGGGGTTTATGGCAGGGGGAAACGGTGCTTGCAGTAGTCTAGTGTGAGGGGTTTATGGCAGGGGAAACGGTGCTGCAGTAGTCTAGTGTGAGGGGTTATGGCAGGGGAAACGGTGCTGCAGTAGTCTAGTGTGAGGGGTTATGGCAGGGGAAACAGTGCTGCAGTAGTCTAGTGTGAGGGGTTATGGCAGGGGAAAACAGTGCTGCAATTAGTCTAGTGTGTGGGGTTATTGGCAGGGAAAACAGTGCTGCAGTAGTCTAGTGTGAGGGGTTATGGCAGGGGAAAACGGTGCTGCAGTAGTCTAGTGTATGAGGTTATGGCAGGGGAAACGGTGCTGCAGTAGTCTAGTGTGAGGGGTTATGGCAGGGGAAACGGTGCTGCTAGAAGTTAGTCTAGTTATGAGGTTATGGCAGGGGAAACGGTGCTGCAGTAGTCTAGTGTGAGGGGTTATGGCAGGGGAAACGTGTGCAGCTGTTTGCGAAGTTAGTTAGTGTATGAGGGTTATGGCAGGGGAAAGGTGCGGTTGTACGTGCTGCAGTAGTCTAGTGTATGAGGTTATGGCAGGGGAAACGGGTTGCTGCAGTAGTCTTGGTGTGTGGGGTTATGGCAGGGGAAAACGGTGCTGCAGTAGTCTAGTGTATGAGGTTATGGCAGGGGAAACGGTTGCTGCAGTAGTCTAGTGTGTGAGGGGTTATGGCAGGGGAAACAGTGCTGCAGTAGTCTAGTGTGTGGGGTTATGGCAGGGGAAACGGTGCTGCAGTAGTAGTCTAGTGTGAGGGGTTATGGCAGGGGAAACAGTGCTGCAGTAGTCTAGTGTGTGGGGTTATGGCAGGGGAAACGGTGCTGCAGTAGTCTAGTGTGAGGGGTTATGGCAGGGGAAACGGTGCTGCAGTAGTCTAGTGTGTGGGGTTATGGCAGGGGAAACAGTGCTGCAGTAGTCTAGTGTGAGGGGTTATGGCAGGGGAAACGGTGCTGCAGTAGTCTAGTGTGTGGGGTTATGGCAGGGGAAACAGTGCTGCAGTAGTCTAGTGTGAGGGGTTATTGGCAGGGGAAACGGTGCTGCAGTAGTCTAGTGTATGAGGTTATGGCAGGGGAAACGGTGCTGCAGTAGTCTAGTGTGAGGGGTTATGGCAGGGGAAACGGTGCTGCAGTAGTCTAGTGTGTGGGGTTATGGCAGGGGAAACGGTGCTGCAGTAGTCTATTGTGAGGGGTTATGGCAGGGGAAACGGTGCTGCAGTAGTCCTATTGTGAGGGGTTATGGCAGGGGAAACGGTGCTGCAGTAGTCTATTGTGTGGGGTTATGGCAGGGGAAACGGTGCTGCGCAGTAGTCTAGTGTGTGGGGTTATGGCAGGGGAAACGGTGCTGCAGTAGTCTATTGTGAGGGGTTATGGCAGGGGAAACGGTGCTGCAGTAGTCTATTGTGAGGGGTTATGGCAGGGGAAACGTGCTGCAGTAGTCTATTGTGTGGGGTTATGGCAGGGGAAACAGTGCTGCAGTAGTCTAGTGTGTGGGGTTATGGCAGGGGAAACGGTGCTGTAGTAGTCTATTGTGAGGGGTTATGGCAGGGGAAACGGTGCTGCAGTAGTCTATTGTGTGGGGTTATGGCAGGGGAAACGGTGCTGCAGTAGTCTAGTGTGTGGGGTTATGGCAGGGGAAAACGGTGGCTGCAGTAGTCTATTGTGAGGGGTTATGGCAGGGGAAACGGTGCTGCAGTAGTCTATTGTGTGGGGTTATGGCAGGGGAAACGGTGCTGCAGTAGTCTAGTGTGTGGGGTTATGGCAGGGGAAACAGTGCTGCAGTAGTCTATTGTGAGGGGTTATGGCAGGGGAAACGGTGCTGCAGTAGTCTAGTGTGTGGGGTTATGGCAGGGGAAACGGTGCTGCAGTAGTCTAGTGTATGAGGTTATGGCAGGGGAAACGGTGTTGCAGTAGTCTAGTGTGTGGGGTTATGGCAGGGGAAACGGTGCTGCAGTAGTCTAGTGTATGAGGTTATGGCAGGGGAAACGGTGCTGCAGTAGTCTAGTGTGTGAGGTTATGGCAGGGGAAACGGTGCTGCAGTAGTCTAGTGTGAGGGGTTATGGCAGGGGAAACGGTGCTGCAGTAGTCTAGTGTGAGGGGTTATGGCAGGGGAAACGGTGCTGCAGTAGTCTAGTGTGAGGGGTTATGGCAGGGGAAACAGTGCTGCAGTAGTCTAGTGTGTGGTGCAGGAATAATGACAAGTGAACCTGGGGAGATTTGTGTTCACATTGTCCTAAAAAAGGGAACCAGACCCCGGAATTCAAGCGAACCGAATTCAGACCACCTCTCGAGATGATCTCAGATCGGTTCGCTTCGGGGGCTCTTTTGAGGGGTCTGAGCTCCTTTGGAGTGTTCACACTGCACAAAATATTAAGCTAACCGCACTGAGTTCACAAAAAATGGCTGAAAGGGAAAAAGTGTGAAAACACCTTAAGAACCCTTTGGTAAAAAGGTTCTACCTGGAATCAAAATCAAAAGGGATTAAAAAAGGGTTATCTTACCCTAAGTCTCTTATTGAGTCTCTCTGTTTCACAGTTATTATCAGGACTCAGTGTTTTGTGGGTGACCTCTTGTGTGTCTGTCTTCAGGGCATGTACTACCTGGAGGAGCGCTGTATGGTGCACAGGAACCTGGCTGCCAGGAACGTAATGCTGAAGAATGATTACTTTGTCCAGATTTCTGACTACGGTGTGGCTGACCTGCTCTATCCTGATGACAAGAAATATGTCTACAGTGACAGTAACAAGGTAATCAGGACACACATTCACCGCTCCATTCTGTAAGGGTTGGTGTGAGGTGTGACCCAGGTGCGGTGCAGGATAGACAGTAGGCAGTAGGCAGAGATGGTGAAACAAGGATATTTACTGGTGGTCCCAAAACCAGGATACAAAATAACGGACTTGTCACACAAAAAATAAAGGAGGAGCAAATTGGTCTCCAAAAACAGGCTGACAGCAAACATACGAAATACTAACTATGACTGAAAACAACAATGAAACAGGGAGAACACTTCTCAAGTACCTGTACATACGTCTCGCGATCAGACACTGATTAGTACTGTTTGGCATCGAGAACTAGCAGAGAAAACAGAGTAAGGGAAGTGAGGGCATAAATACACAGGTGAACAGGTAGACACAGATGACACCAATAAGATAATGATTAATCAAGACTGTGTGAGGATGTGCCTAAGGTTGTCGGAGGATGACACCTAGTGGGTCGCTCCGGAACTGCGACCCCCTCCTGTAACACCATTCACCTTGATTCATCAAGAAATTGTATTTCTTCACAAGTTGTTGTCTACTATAAACAGACAAAATGAGCTTCTGCTTCTATGTTTCTTCCAGACTCCCATAAACATAAAATGGATGGCCCTGGAAAGCATCCTGTTCCGAACATACACTCATCAGAGTGATGTCTGGAGTTATGGTCAGACAGCATGGTCATAAGTGTCTGTCTGTCTTCTGTCTGTATCTCTGTCTGTCTGTCTGTGTCTCTCTCTCTCTCTGTCTGTCTGTCTGTCTGTATGTGTATCTGTCTGTCTGTCTCTGTATCTGTCTGTCTGTATGTGTCTCTGTCTGTCTGTGTCAAAAGTCTTTGTCTGTCTGTTTGTCTGTGTCTCTGTCTGTGTCAAATGTCTTTCTTTGTCTGTCTGTCTGTCTGTCTGTCTGTGTGTGTCTTTGTCCATCTGTCTGTCTGTCTGTCTGTCTGTCTGTCTGTCTGTATGTGTCTCTGTTTGTCTGTCTGTCTGTATGTGTCTCTGTGTCTCTGTGTGTCAAATGTCTTTCTCTGTCTGTCTGTCTGTCTGTCTGTCTGTTCTGTGTCTCTGTGTCTCTGTGTCTCTGTGTCTCTGTGTCTCTGTGTCTCTGTGTGTCTGTGTCAAATGGCTTTCCCTGTCTGTCTGTGTCAAATGTCTGTCTGTCTGTGTAAAATGTATGTCTGTCTATCTGTGTCAAATGTATTTGTCTGTCTGTCTGTATGTATGTCTGTCTGTCTGTCTGTCTGTCTGTCTGTCTGTCTGTGTCATATGGCTGTATGTGTCTCTGTCTGTCCGTCCGTCTGTCCATCTGTCCCTCCGTCTGTTTGTGTTAAACGTCTATGTCATCATGACATAACCTCTCCCCTCTGCAGGAGTGACAGTGTGGGAGATGATGTCATTCGGAGCAGAGCCCTACGCATCCATGCAGCCCCAAGATGTTCCCAGTCTACTGGAGAAGGGAGAGCGCCTGTCCCAACCCCACATCTGTACTATAGATGTCTACATGGTCATGGTCAAGTGTGAGTAATCGTTCAAAAGTAACACTATGCACATCCAACAAACGACAAAACTGCCATGGGATAAGAGGAGAAATACCAGCACACTTTTAAAATTATTTTGACCACAAACGACCACAAACGATCCCCATCAGAACATTCAAGGTTGAAATTAAATGGTTTCTATTTAAATGACAGGTATTTTCTTTCTTTTCCATAGGGTGACTAACACACATTTCACTCTGTGCTCTCTGACGTACACACACAGCAAAATACTCCACTATATGCATGGTGTCAACTGGTTCACCCAGCAACGTTTGGACATTGATCATCTTATTGTTTTCTTTTACCAGGCTGGATGATTGATGAGAATATTCGCCCGACCTTCAAAGAACTGGCCAATGACTTTATTCGCATGGCAAGAGACCCACCTCGCTACCTTGTCATCAAGGTAAGGAAAAGATCACAGCACTTTATTACTTTTCTGTCTATTCAAGTCCTATTGACATAAGTCTTTATTACTGACACTTTGCCTATAGGACAGAGGAGAGGCGGGGCCAGAAGAATCCCACCAACGGGAATCAGAGCTGGACAATTTGGAGGCGGGCCTGGAGGACCAGGATGAGGAGGGATTGGAGGATGGTTTGGCCACTCCTCCTCTTACCCTGCCCCCATCCAGGATGTCTCGCCTGAGGATGAGCTCATATAGGGTAAATCTTATTCATCTGCATACATAACTTGAATTTCTGCACTAATCACATCTATTGAGTTACTAGTGATGGGAAAACAAGGCTTTCTGAAGGCTTCAGCGCTTTTACCAAATTGTGCCGAAAAACTGTTCATTACTCTGAGCTTCATTATCTGTTCACAATGCACATTCGTGACATCTGCTGGTCAACAATAAATACATTTACATTTACATTTACGTCATTTAGCAGACGCTTTTTCCCCAAGCGTTTAACCCAAATGGGGTGAAATTAAAACCTTAAAAACCCCGTGGGATAACCATTTTAAAATTTTTATTTTTTTTTGGGGGGGGGGGGGGGGGGTGGGGGGGGGTTTGGGGGGGGGGGTAAAAGGGTTTCTTTACCCTATCCCAGGTATTCCTTAAAGAGGGGGGGTTTTCCCAAATTCCCCCGGGAAGGTGGTGAGTGACTCCGCGGGTCCTGGGCGTCGTGAGGGAGCTTTTTCCACCTTGGGGTCCAGAGCGCGACAGTTTTGACTGGTTTTAGGGGGAACTAGCTTCCGCGGGTTTAGGGGAGCCAGCAGGCCAAGGTGGATGAACGCAATGCCCTCGTTTGGGTGTGGGGACTGATCAGAGCCTGAAGGTACGGGGGTCCCCTTTTCCCCTCACACCCGTGGGCCCAACCCCCCAGGCCCTTGGGTACCCGATCATTTTTAAACGGGAAGCCAGTGGAGTTTTTCCGGGAGGGGGGTTACGTGAGAGAACTTGGGAAGGTTGAACACCAGACGGGCTGCGGCATTCTGGATGAGTTGTAGGGGTTTAATGGCACAGGCAGGGAGCCCAGCCAACAGCGAGTTGCAGTAATCCAGACGGGAGATGACAAGTGCCTGGATTAGGACCTGTGCCGCTTCCTGTGTAAGGCAGGGTCGTACTCTCCGAATGTTGTAGAGCATGAACCTACAAGATCGGGTCACCGCCTTGATGTTAGCGGAGAACAACAGGGTGTTGTCCAGGGTCACGCCAAGGCTCTTCGCACTCTGGGAGTAGGACACAACGGAGTTGTCAACCGTGATGGCGAGATCACGGAACAGGCAGTCCTTCCCCGGGAGGAAGAGCAGCTCCGTCTTGCCAAGGTTCAGCTTGAGGTGGTGATCCGTCATCCATACTGATATGTCTGCCAGACATGCAGAGATGCGATTCGCCACCTGGTTAACAGAAGGGGGAAAGGAGAAGATTAGTTGTGTGTCATCAGCGTAGCAATGATAGGAGAGGCCATGTGAGGATATGACAGAGCCAAGTGACTTGGTGTATAGCGAGAATAGGAGAGGGCCTAGAACTGAGCCCTGGGGGACACCAGTGGTGAGAGCACGTGGTGCGGAGACAGGTTCTCGCCACGCCACTTGGTAGGAGCGACTGGTCAGGTAGGACGCAATCCAAGAGTGAGCCGCGCCGGAGATGCCCAGCTCGGAGAGGGTGGAGAGGAGGATCTGATGGTTCACAGTATCAAAGGCAGCAGACAGGTCTAGAAGGACAAGAGCAGAGGAGAGAGAGTTAGCTTTAGCAGTGCGGAGAGCCTCCGTGACACAGAGAAGAGCAGTCTCAGTTGAATGACCAGTCTTGAAACCTGACTGGTTTGGATCAAGAAGGTCATTCTGAGAGAGATAGCAAGAGAGTTGGCTAGAGACGGCACGCTCAATAGTTTTGGAGAGAAAAGAGAGAAGGGATACTGGTCTGTAGTTGTTGACATCAGAGGGATTGAGTGTTGGTTTTTTGAGAAGGGGTGCAACTCTCGCTCTCTTGAAGACGGAAGGGACATAGCCAGTGGTCAAGGATGAGTTGATCAGCGAGGTGAGGTAAGGGAGAAGGTCACCGGAGATGGTCTGGAGAAGAGAGGAGGGGATAGGGTCAAGCGGGCAGGTTGTTGGGCGGCCGGCCGTCACAAGTCGCAAGATTTCATCTGGAGAGAGAGGGGAGAAAGAGGTCAAAGCATAGGGTAGGGCAGTGTGAGCAGGACCAGCAGTGTCATTTGACTTAACAAACGAGGATCGGATGTCGTCAACCTTCTTTTCAAAATGGTTGACGAAGTCATCCACAGAGAGGGAGGATGGGGTGGGGGGGGGATTCAGCAGGGAGGAGAATGTGGCAAAGAGCTTCCTAGGGTTAGAGGCAGATGCTTGGAATTTAGAGTGGTAGAAAGTGGCCTTAGCAGCAGAAACAGATGAAGAAAATGTAGAGAGGAGGGAGTGAAAAGATGACAGGTCCGCAGGAAGTTTAGTTTTCTTCCATTTCCGCTCAGCTGCCCGGAGCTCTGTTCTGTGAGCTCGCAATGAGTCATCAAGCCACGGAGCTGGAGGAGTGGACCGAGCCGGCCGGGAGGATAGGGGACATAGAGAGTCAAAAGATGCAGAAAGGGAGGAGGGTTGAGGAGGCAGAATCAGGAGATTGGAGGGAGAAGGATTTGAGCAGAGGGAAGAGATGATAGGATGGAAGAGGAGAGAGTAGCGGGAGAGAGAGAGCGAAGGTTGCGACGGCGCATTACCATCTGTGTAGGGGCAGAGTGAGTAGTGTTGGAGGAGAGGGAGAGAGAAAAGGATACAAAGTAGTGGTCGGAGACTTGGAGGGGAGTTGCAGTGAGATTAGTAGAACAACAGCATCTAGTAAAGATGAGGTCAAGCGTATTGCCTGCCTTGTGAGTAGGGGGGGACGGTGAGAGGGTGAGGTCAAAAGAGGAGAGGAGTGGAAAGAAGGAGGCAGAGAGAAATGAGTCAAATGTAGACGTAGGGAGGTTGAAATCCCCCAGAACTGTGAGGGGTGAGCCATCCTCAGGAAAGGAACTTATCAAGGCGTCAAGCTCATTGATGAACTCTCAGAGGGAACCTGGAGGGCGATAGATGACAAGGATATTAAGCTTAAATGGGCTAGTGACTGTGACAGCATGGAATTCAAATGAGGAGATAGACAGATGGGTCAGGGGAAAAATTTAGAATGTCCACTTGGGAGAGATGAGGATTCCTGTGCCACCACCCCGCTGACCAGATCCTCTCGGGGTATGCGAGAACACATGGTCAGACGAGGAGAGAGCAGCAGGAGTAGCAGTGTTTTCAGTGGTAATCCATGTTTCCGTCAGCGCCAAGAAGTCGAGGGACTGGAGGGTAGCATAGGCTGAGATGAACTCTGCCTTGTTGGCAGCAGAACGGCAGTTCCAGAGGCTGCCTGAGACCTGGAACTCCACGTGGGAGGTGCGTGCAGGGACCACCAGGTTAGAGAGGCAGCAGCCACGCGGTGTGAGGCGTTTGTGCAGCCTGTGCGGAGAGGAGAGAACAGGGATAGGCAGAGGCATAGTTGACAGGCTGCAGCAGATGGCTACAATAATGCAGAGGAGATCGGAATGAAATGAACTAAACATCTGGGAAAGGAGAGAGCGGGGCCTCCCTCACCACAACCCCCAAATATAACTCTCCCAACATCCACCTCAGAAACTATAATTGTTGTAAACTACAGCGGTTCAATGTTTCTAGGAATAGACTAACTTAGTTTATTCAGCTAGCTAACTAGGTGCAGTATTATTCCGTGAAAATCATCCAGGCACCTCGTCATAAGACGCCACAGCCAGCTAGCATGCCGGCCACAACAAACCACCAGTGTATCAACACGCAAGCAGATCGTTCGTGTCCGTGTCTAACGTTGTGGGTTAGTCCCGACAGCTTGAGCGAGTCCGTCGTCAACTTATTCAGCCAGTTAGTTAGCTAGAATAGTTAGCAAACTAGCTAGCCATTGCTTTCAGACAAAGAAGAACCCCTCCTTTCACGGCACGAACACACAGAGAGAGCCAAACTAACGTTAACTAGTCACCCATGTCACGAATTCCTTGAACGACTCGGGCTATCAATATGTAAAAAAACAAAACACAAATGTAGGTTATGACTTACCCCTAGCAGCTACTGTTAGCTAGCCAAGTGCAAAGCTAGCCACTGAATTGACTCAGCCAGTTCGCGTCTGTTTGCTTGGTCGTTCCAGCTATTGTTTACTAGTAGCTATCCAGGTAGCAACAAGCTAGCTAAATTTCAAGCACAGTAGCCACTTGCTACCTAACGTTAACGGTTCAGACAATGAGGTTAGAAAACAGCTGAATGGTAGGCAATTATTGTATGTAATTATTGTAGGCAGCCAGCTGGCGTAATTACAGGCACTCTCAGGCGTGAAACAACTATACCGTTGCTAATAGCTACTCGCCAGCTAGTCCAGGTGGTGGGTTAGCTAGCTAGCTTCGTGCTACACCCGGCACAGCCGAATACAATACTAACCTACAATAATTACATACAACAACCCACGATAACTACCTACAATACCTAACTACAATCTAAATACATAGTTTAAGCCTTACTCGACAAAGCCCAAGCTATGTATAAAGCCAAGCTTACCCGACGCCAAGCTTACCCGACGACCTCCTCCTTCGACGACCTCCTATATACCTAAAATGAATCCGATAAGGATCCAAAAGAACAGTGTGTGATTATCAGATAGACGTTTTCTTTCTCCACTGTTTGTATCAAAACTCTGTGGCACAGCGGTAAGTCGTTGACTTTAGGAGCCTATGATCAGGTGGAATACCAGGTTCTCACCTTTTTTGCCTTCAAGTTTACAATTTTTCAAAAACTGAATTTATGGAATTATTTAGGATGCTTAAGACAGAAGCTTATACTATACGAAATAAAGCAAATTATTTGAACAACAGTGCAGAAAGTGTGGTTTCACATAAAAATATAAATAAATTGTGTGCCTTCAACGGGATTCTACCTCACCCTCACGTCCTTGAATGTTCCATAGTTCCTGTACTCTACCCTCTAAGCCTCACCCTCACGACCTTGAATGTTCCATAGTTCCTGTACTCTACCCTCTAAGCTACGTACTCTGCCCTCTAATCTACCGGTGAGGTGAAACTTTTTGTAGCCTTTTTTGTCTTCTACCGAAACCAATACCAAACCAATCAGGTGGTTGTTTGACGAAACAAAGCTTCCGACGTCATTGATCACGTGCTTCTGATAAAGCGATACAAGCATCGGCACACTGCTTCGGAAAAAAAACTGCTTAGCGATTTTGACACATGCCTCGGAGCTCCGGTATCAAACATAAAAAACACTATGAGTTACACACTCCAATATCAAGTTGTAAAAGGTCAGTGTGAACTTTAACCTCTCTCTCTCTCTCTCTCTCTCTCTCTCTCTCTCTTTGACCTCTCAGAGTGCCAGTGCCACCTTTCAGGCCAGACCAGTAGGGTACCTTCCCATGACCCCCAGCTCTGCAGAGGTCAGACACCACAACACATCACACATCACAGATAAGGAGATCTTGATATTAGGGCCGTAATTTCCCCATGCGAATAGCCAGAAACAACTGGCACTAACACATCACACCAAAGTACAAGAGGTCTTGGCCTTATTTAACTGAGAGCAATAAGTATTATGACTCCACTTTGCCAAATGGCTTCACTTAAATCAGTATTATGACTAAACGTTGCCAAGAGGAAATTACTGTTTCAGGAAACTCAGACACATAAATATGTTGTATCGGATTCAAGTCTCATCCCGATTCGTGATGATGATGATGGTCTATGAATGACGATGATGACTATTAATTTTGCACTTATAACATATTCTTGAAACTCAAAGGTATTTTCACTGTATCCTTCTTTCAGCTGTTCTCCCAGCAGTCTTGTCTGAACTCAGCGAAGACACTGTCACAGGTGTCAGAGGGAAGAGGGAGTGGCCTGGACGTTGAGCTGACCGAGGGAGTGTCACTGAGCAGCAGCTTGCGCAGGCAGCAGCCCAGAGCTGGCAGGGACAGTGGCAGTAGTACCCACCACACCTCCACCACCATGGTGCATAGGAGCCAATCTGCAGTCTCACACTCCAACAGGCTTGAGCAAGAGGAAGATCACTATGGATACGTGCTGCCTGGAGTGTCTGACACTCCAGAGAGAGGTGACTCCTTGATGTGCAGGCAACATACCACATTAATTTTACGTTTACATTTTAGTCATTTAGCAGACGCTCTTATCCAGAGCGACTTACAGTTAGTGAGTGCATACATGTTTTCATACTGGCCCCCCATGGGAATCGAACCCACAACCCTAGCATTGCAAACACCATGCTCTACCAACTGAGCTACACGGGAATGTGATCACTGTTAAAAAAAATTCATCTGTGTTGATGGAGTGATAGAATTCTTAGTTCTATTCTCTAATATCGCTTTCCTCCTTTATGTGGCAGATTCTCTGCTGTCTCGCCCAGCCTCCAGAAACTCTTGCCCAAGTGGAACATCTCTCAGGGGCTCTAGGAGCTCCAGAAATGTGCTGTCACCGTTAGCAACTGTCCCAGATCCCACCGCGGACTATGAACTGATGACCAAACAGCCAGCCCCATTGCCCCGCTCCCCCAGAGCCACCTCTGTACAGATAGAAGGGCCTTCATCAGTGGAATGGAGGAAACAGTCCTCACCTCTGCCCTCCCCAACCTACAATACAGCACCCTCGCCACTAGAGGGCAACAACACAGTGCATGGGGCCTCACAGGAGTCATCGTCAGGCACTGCAGCCACTCCTGGGGGAAGCCAGGGTTCAACAGAGGCCTCTGATAGTGCTGTGGCTAGAGTAGCAGAGGGAGACAAGCTGCAGCTGCTGGTTGAGAGGCCTTACAGTGGATCTGTTTTGTCTGACAGTGGAGGGGCCACTCAGGGGAGGCCAGAGCAGGCAGCTGTAGTGGAGTATGAATACATGGATATCCGGCGCACCACAAACACCACAGATACAGAGAGACCCATCTGGGAGAGGCGTGAGAGCCGAGCAGCTGACTTGAGGAGGACAGAGGCAGAAGAACGAGAGAGAGAAGAAGGAACGAGTAAGGAGGTAGAGGAGAAGGAAAGAAAGGAAGACGAGGATGGGGAGGAAGTTTACCAGTACACTAACAAGCAGCCCAGACTCCTCCGAGAGAGCAGCAAAGTGGCAGGGCCCAGCCCCAAGCCCAGCCTCCTCCCCAAGCCCAGCCTTAGCCCCAAAACCAGCCTTAGCCCCAAACCCAGCCTCAGCCCCAAGTCAAGGCCCAAACCCAGCCACAGCCCCAAACCTAGCCTCAGCCCCAGCCCCAATCCCAACCCCAGGCCAGATGGTTTCACAGCAGTGGTAGACAGCCAGGTGGAGGTGGAGGAGTATGAGGATATGGATGCCTTTGGAGGGGGCTCCAGGGGCTCCCAGCGAGGGGACCACCAGGAGGCAGAGTACCAAAACCTCCCAGTCCCAGGGAAGGGGAGGGCCACCACAGCTGAGGAGGGGGGTGCTGGTAGCAGGTGTGCCGGACTAGGGTTGGGGGGGTACATCAAAGTGTGCTCCGGTGTGGGAGTGGGAGAGCCGAGCAGCAACACATCGTTTGACAACCCTAACTATTGGCACAGCAGACTGTTCCTCAAGTCAGATGCTGTGCGCACATAATGATGTGGACTGAGAAAACAACAACAACAACAACTGTGACCAAGCAAGCACAGCCAGAGATATTTTATATAATCATGTAACAGGCTCTGGTGCAGCTCAACTAGTAATGAAGGGCTTGTTTATAATGTAGTTGGTTTACATCATCCATCCAAACATCATGAACCAAAAAAACATCTGTAAAATGTCCCATTCATGTTATCTATCTATCAGTTTATAGTGACATCTCAGTCTCAGAAATGTAACCAAATAGGCAGCTCTATATTAAACAACAGCAAAGGATGGCCTAAACTGGGAGCAAGAATCAATAAGTCAAAGGCAAACAGAATAGTGAGAAATAGATACACAGACTAGAGCCTAATGTACAAAGACACACAAAGCATATAGAATGTACAAAGATACACAAAGCATAAAGAATGTACAAAGATACACAAAGCATATAGAATGTACAAAGATACAAAAAGAAATGGAGAAACTTATTCAAGAAAGATCAAGTGTAATATATTATAAAAATAAAGCAAACTGGATGGAATATGGGGAAAAATGCACAAAATTATTTTTTTATCTTCAACATAGGAATGCTACCAAAAAGAATTTAATGAAACTGGTTACAATTGACGGAGTCACCCATGATTCACCAAATTATATTTTGAAGGAGGAAACAAAGTACTTTAAGCATATGTTTTCTTTTCAGTCGCCTCCATCTCCTCTAACTGAGATTTGTTTTCTATTGATAATGTAAAATTAACAGACATACAGAAAGACTCATGTGAAGGTGAAATTACAGAGGAGGAACTTCTGGATGCAATTAAAGACTTTAAGTCCGGGAAAACTCCAGGGTTGGATGGCATACCAGTCGAGATATACCAAACCTTTTTTGATATACTAAGAGGACCGTTATTAGCATGTTTTAACCACTCCTATGTAAATGGTAGATTATCTGACACTCAAGAAGAAGATCTCATTATTACTGAAACAGGATACAAGTGGAAAATATAAAGATCAAGTCCATTAAAAAAATTGGAGGCCCCTTACACTTCAGTGTTGTGATGCAAAAATTCTAGCAAAATGTATAGCGTATAGAATTAAAAAGGTATTGTCGGATATTATTCATTCTAATCAGACAGATTTTTTACATGGAAGATACATTGGAGATAATATAAGGCAAGTATTGGAAACAATAGAACACTATGGAAAATCTGGGAAACCAGGCCTGCTCATAGCAGACTTCGAAAAGACATTTGATAAAGTACGACTGGGGTTCATATATAAATGCCTGGAGCATTTCAATTTTGGAGAATCTCTTATAAAATGGGTCAAAATCATGTATAGTAACCCTAGGTGTAAAATAGTAAATAATGGCTATTTCTCAGAAAGTTTTAAACTGTCAAGAGGAGTGAAACAAGGTTGTCCACTATCGGCATATCTATTTATTGTGGTCATCGAGATGTTAGCTATTAAAATCATATTCAATAATAATATCAGAGGATTAGAAATCCAGGGCTTAAAAACAGAGGTGTCATTGTACGATGATGTTTCATGTTTTCTTTTAAATCCACAACTAGAATCCCTCCACAGCCTCATAGAGGATCTAGATACATTTTTTAACCTCTCTGGATTACAACCAAATTATGACAAATGTACTATATTACGTATTGGATCACTAAAAAATTAAGTTTTTACATTACCATGTAGTTTACCAATAAAATGGTCTGATGGTGATGTGGATATACTCGGAATACATATCCCAAAGGAAATAAATGATCTCACTTCAATACATTTTAATAGAAAGTTAGCAAAAATAGATAAGATCTTGCTACCATGGAAAGGTAAATACCTGTCAATTTGTTGAAAAATCACCCTGATTAACTCTTTAGTATTATCCCAGTTGACCTATTTGCTTATGGTCTTGCCTACGTCTAGCGAACAGTTTTTTAAATTATATGAGAAAAAAATATTCCATTTTATTTGGAACGGCAAGCCAGACAAAATTAAACGGGCCTATTTATATAATGAATATGAATTCGGAGGACAGAAATGATTAAATATTAAATCTTTAGACCTATCACTAAAAGCTTCAGTCATACAAAAGTTATACTTAAATCCGAACTGGTTCTCAAGCAAATTAGTAAGATTGTCTCACCCAATGTTCAAGAATGGCCTTTTTCCCTTTATTCAGATTACAACCACTCATTTTCAGTTATTTGAAAAGGAAATAATCTCCCAAATATCACTATTTCTAAAACAAGACATAGAAAGTTGGTTGCAATTTCAATTTAATCCTCCAGAAACGACAAATAATGCAACAAATATTGTGGTTAAATTCAAATATACTAATTGACAAAAAAACTGTATTTTTTGACAAAATGTTTAAAAAAGGTATAATCTTCGTAAATGATATCATCGGTAGGACTGGTGGAGTTATGTCGCACATGCAGCTAACAAAAACATATGGAAATGTCTGCTCTACCCAAAATTACAACCAAATAATTACAGCCTTACCGCAAAAATGGAAGAGGAAAGTGGAAGGGGGAGAAAGTAAGGAACTTGTCTGTCGGCCTTGCATTAAAGAACATAATTGGTGCATTAAAGAACATAATTGGTTAAGGAAAACTGTGATAAATAAAAAAGTATATCAGTTTCATTTAAGGACCAAAGGATTGACAGCTGTCCCATATAGATTGCAAAATAGTTGGGAAGAGATTTTTGACGTACTGATCCCATGGCATAGTGTTTATGAACTGACACGCAAAACGACACCGGATTCAAAAATTAGAATCTTTCAATTTAAATTATTATATAAAATTCTTGCTACCAATAGAATGTTATTTATATGGGGGATAAAAACTTCCCAGCTCTGTAGATTTTGCTGTGAAGAGACAGAATCATTAGATCATTTGTTTTGGTTCTGTCCATTTGTAGCTTGTTTTTTGGACACAGGTCCAGGAATGGCTAAAGGATTGCAATATTTACCTGGAGCTAACCTTGCAGATAGCATTACTGGGTGATCTGAAAAGTCATAGTCAATCGATCAATAATATAATAATACTTTTAGCAAAAAATGTTTATTTTCTATTCACAATCTATAGAAACAATGAGAATAGAAAGGTTCAGAACTTTTGTAAAACATCACAGTACAGTTGAAATATATATGGCAAATAGAAATCCTATATGGATGGTGTTAAGAGATAGATGGGAGGTGTTGAATGGAGTTGAAGGATGGGACTATTAACAACTAACAACAATTAATAACAAGATAACTAATAATGTAAGCATACTGTGTCCATAATAAGTATATAGGTTGTATGTTGGGAGCTTTTGGGAAAGAGCACAGTTAGAAAGATATGGCATATAGAAGCAAACCGGATGGACATCATGAAAATGATTGGAGAGGTTGAGAGTAGAAGAAGTTCAGGAGAAAAAACAAACAAAATATAATTATTGTAAAATTGACTGTGTCCATAAAATGTAGATAGTAAGTATAAGCTGGAAGTAGAGGCCTAAGCATTGTTGTTCACTAAATTACCCCAAGTAGGGAAAGGATGGCGGGGTTGAAAAGTAATAAAGGGGAGTATATAAAAAAACATGGGGGATTGGAAGTGATGCAGACAATTACATTGATGGAAGTTACAATCTATCTGCAATATTAAGCTGATCTACCCCCAAATAAAACATTTAAAAACATACACAAAGCATATAGAATGTACAAAGATACACAAAGCATAGATAAATCAAATTTGCACAGTGTTTGCACTTCAACTTGTTCCAATTCCTGGTAAAGCTGATGTTTACCTACATACAGTGGGGAGAACAAGTATTTGATACACTGCCGATTTTGCAGGTTTTCCTACTTACAAAGCATGTAGAGGTCTGTAATTTTTATCATAGGTACACTTCAACTGTGAGAGACGGAATCTAAAACAAAAATCCAGAAAATCACATTGTATGATTTTTAAGTAATTAATTTGCATTATATTGCATGACATAAGTATTTGATCACCTACCAACCAGTAAGAATTCCGGCTCTCACAGACCTGTTAATTTATCTTTAAGAAGCCCTCCTGTTCTCCATTCATTACCTGATTTAAATGCACCTGTTTGAACTCGTTACCTGTATAAAAGACACCTGTCCACACACTCAATCAAACAGACTCCAACATCTCCACAATGGCCAAGACCAGAGAGCTGTGTAAGGACATCAGGGATAAAATTGTAGACCTGCACAAGGCTGAGATGGGCTACAGGACAATAGGCAAGCAGCTTGGTGAGAAGGCAACAACTGTTGGCGCAATTATTAGAAAATGGAAGAAGTTCAAGATGATGGTCAATCACCCTCGGTCTGGGGCTCCATGCAAGATCTCACCTCGTGGGGCATCAATGATCATGAGGAAGGTGAGGGATCAGCCCAGAACTACACGGCAGGACCTGGTCAATGACCTGAAGAGAGCTGGGACCACAGTCTCAAAGAAAACCATTAGTAACACACTACGCCGTCATGGATTAAAATCCTGCAGTGCACGCAAGGTCCCCCTGCTCAAGCCAGCGCATGTCCAGGCCCGTCTGAAGTTTGCCAATGACCATCTGAATGATCCAGAGGAGGAATGGGAGAAGGTCATGTGGTCTGATGAGACAAGAATAGAGCTTTTTGGTCTAAACTCCACTCGCCGTGTTTGGAGGAAGAAGAAGGATGAGTACAACCCCAAGAACACCATCCCAACCGTGAAGCATGGAGGTGGAAACATCATTCTTTGGGGATGCTTTTCTGCAAAGAGGACAGGACGACTGCACCGTATTGAGGGGAGGATGGATGGGGCCATGTATCGCGAGATCTTGGACAACAACCTCCTTCCCTCAGTAAGAGCATTGAAGATGGGTCGTGGCTGGGTCTTCCAGCATGACAACGACCCTAAACACACAGCCAGGGAAACTAAGGAGTGGCTCCGTAAGAAGAATCTCAAGGTCCTGGAGTGGCCTAGCCAGTCTCCAGACCTGAACCCAATAGAACATTTTTGGAGGGAGCTGAAAGTCCGTATTGCCCAGCGACAGCCCCGAAACCTGAAGGATCTGGAGAAGGTCTGTATGGAGGAGTGGGCCAAAATCCCTGCTGCATTGTGTGCAAACCTGGTCAAGACCTACAGGAAACTTATGATCTCTGTAATTGCAAACAAAGGTTTCTGTACCAAATATTAAGTTCTGCTTTTCTGATGTATCAAATACTTACGTCATGCAATAAAATGAAAATCAATTACTTAAAAATCATACAATGTGATTTTCTGGATTTTTGTTTTAGATTCCGTCTTTCACAGTTTAAGTGTACCTATGATAAAAATTACAGACCTCTACATGCTTTGTAAGTAGGAAAACCTGCAAAATCGGCAGTGTATCAAATACTTGTTCTCCCCACTGTAGATAGAACCTCAAGGTTCCCTGGGTGTGAGGTCTGCCATGTAATGTTAGAACCTCAAGGTTCTCTGGGTGTGAGGTCTGCCATATAATGTTAGAACCTCAAGGTTCCCTGGGTGTGAGGTCTGCCATATAAGGTTAGAACCTCAAGGTTCCCTGGGTGTGAGGTCTGCCATGTAAGGTTAGAACCTCAAGGTTCCCTGTGTCATGACTGTCCTGTGTGAGGATCTAAGGCCTCAGATCAGCTTGGAAAGGGCTGACGATGACCAGATGCCCTCTCACCCATGGAAGGGGGGGGGGGGGGGGGGGGGTTTGACTCCTTAACACTCTGTCATAAATTAGGCGGGAGGGGAATCTCCCTCTTGCTCTTCAATAATTACTAAAGGAATGCCCTTTTTCTACAGAAGACTTTTGCCGCCAAAACTATAACGTCCAAAAAGTAAACTGGAACAATATTTCTAACATCCGAATGTTTGGAATGGTCAGTGGGGATCTAAAGAATAATCATGTCATATTGTTTATTATTTTGTGATGTCATTAAGGATGGTATAAAGAAAATACTCTAACTCAGAAAGTGTACACATTATATCTGTCAAGTTTACATCCAAATGTTGTATAAAATATATGACTAAGGATGAGAGTATTTCTGTTAAGATAGGAATGTCCTTTTTGATTTCTAATGAGATAATTGTTTTTCATATAAACTATGCACAGTGACTAGCCACGCCCCGAGTGAGATCAGAGATCGTGTCAGCATGATGGAACGCCCCCGTTTACCTAGAGCGCATAAAAAGCCTTGGTAACGAAATTCACATCAGACCAGAAAGACGTGAGACGGTGGTCTATAGGTCTGAAAATGGTTGGAATGTTGAACCTCAACACAAAGTGAAGAAGATAAACTACCAGACTAGACCCGAACATTGCCAGACTGCAGCTGTGCGTGTAAAGTGGTCCAAACTCTGACTATCAACACGAGGTGGGAAGGAGAAAATCCCCTCTCAAGACAATCACTGGTACATCTGAGTAGCTGTTCTGAAAACACTCCACTACAAGACCAGGACAACTAAGTAGAAGGATATTGTGACCTCTAGTGGACAATCAGAGCCTTACACAGGACACCCCCAAAACCCCCTTTTTAAGAAGGCTTGGTTTCAACAGACGACGAACTAAGACGATGGCAAACACGTAAATGCATTCATGATTTCTTACCCCAAACGGGCGGTGGTTCATGAGCAAAGTATTATGATTACTTTGAGGGCAGTTTCCAAATGTATCAACGATAAGTTTGACTCTCTCTTTGTCTCTCTCTCCCTCTCTCTTTCTACCCCTCCCTCTTTTGATAACCAAGCAGTCATGTCGTTAGTCCGCTAGGGACTTTTTCTCATGTATTAAGTGTAAATGTTATTCTGTGTTATTATTTAGTTAGCTAGTAAATAAATAATTAAACCAATTTGGGTAGTACTGAATCATAAGTAAAGCTGGGGTTCGTGCAGATCCAAGAAGTCTACGACCGTTCAGAATGAGACTGATAAGAGGTAATGATTGATACGTTGACTGTTTTATACATAGTGATAGGTAAAGACCTTTTAGAGTTTAATTCGGGAGATGGTAACTCTATAAGCAACTTCTTCCGTGGTGCCCCAAATCCTAATGAGTGAATTGTTACATGATTAATTTAATAGAGTAACAATTAAACATAGTTAATTGATTCGATAGATAACAGTCATCATATTAATGAAAATCACATCATGCAACTAGGTGTGAGGTCTGCCATGTAATGTACATTTGTAGCTTATAGTTTCCTTTATGAAATGAGGTATTCTTTATGAACATGACTTTATGGATGAATTTCAGTAATGTATTGACTATGTTATTGCAAGTGTGTGTGTTTCAAGTTTTAATGTCGCATGCACAAGTACAGTGAAATGCCTTTCTTGCAAGCTCTAAACCCAACAATGCAGTAATCAATATCAATGTAGTACTAAAAATAACATAAGGTAGAACAAAAACACACAAGAAAAATAAATAAATAAGAAGAACACGAGAAGTAAGTAAGCTACAGTGCATTCGGAAAGTACTCAGACCCTTTGACTTTTTCCACATTTTGTTACGTTACAGCCTTATTCTAAAATGAATTAAATGAGAAAAAAAAATCCTCATCAATCTACACACAATACCCCATAACGACAAAGCAAAAACAGGTTTTTAGAAATTTTGGCAAATGTATTGAGTAGTTAAAAACAGAAATACCTTATTTACATAAGTATTCAAACCCTTTGCTATGAGACTCGAAATTGAGCTCAAGTACATCCTGTTTCCATTGATCACCCCTGAGATATTTCTACAACTTTATTGGAGTCCACCTGTGGTAAATTCAATTGATTGGACATGATTTTGAAAGACACACACCTGTCTATATAAGGTCCCACAGTTGACAGTGCATGTCCGAGCAAAAACCAAGCCATGAGGTCGAAGGAATTGTCTGTAGAGCTCCGAGACAGGATTGTGTTGAGGCACAGATCTGGGGAAGGGTACCAAAACATTTCTGCAGCATTGAAGGTCCCCAAGGACACAGTGGCCTCCATCATTCTTAAATGGGAGAAGTTTGGAACCACCAAGACTCTTCCTAGAGCTAGCCACCCGGCCAAACTGAGCAATCGGGGGAGAAGGGCCTTAGTCTGGGAGGTGCCCAAGAACCCGATGATCACTCTGACAGAGCTCCAGAGTTCCTCTGTGGAGATCGGAGAACCTTCCAGAAGGACAACCATCTCTGCAGCACTCCATCAATCAGGCCTTTATGGTAGAGTGGCCAGATGGAAGCCACTCCTCAGTAAAAGGCACATGACAGTCCGCTTGGAGTTTGCCAAAAGGCACCTAAAGGGTTCTCAGACCATGAGAAACATGATGAAACCAAGATTGAACTCTTTGGCCTGAATGCCAAGCGTCACATCTGGAGGAAACCTGGCTCCAAATACAGGTGTGGCAAGCTTGTAGCGTCATACCCAGGAAGACTCAAGGCTGTAATCACTGCCAAAGGTGCTTCAACAAAGTACTGAGTAAAGGGTCTGAATACCTATGTAAATGTGATATTTCAGTTTTTTATTTTTAATACATTTGCAAAAATTTCTACAAACCTTTTTTTGCTTTGTCATTATGGGGTATTGTGTGTAGATTGATGAGGGGGAAAAAACGATTTAATCAATTTTATAATAAGGCAGTAACGTAACAAAATGTGAAAAAAGTCAAGGGGTCTGAATACTTTCCGAATGCACTGTCAGTTCCAATACCATATTTACAATGTGCAGGGATACTAGAGTGATAGAGGCAGATATGTATAGCGGTGACTAGGCATCAGGATATAGGATAAACAGAGTAGCAGCAGTGTATGTGAAGTATAAATGTGTGTGCATGTTGTGTGTGTGAGCAAATTAAGTGAGTGTGTGTGTTTTGGGTTGTCAGTGTGTGAGAGTGTGTAGTGTCCTGTGAGTGTGCATAGAGACAGTGCAATTATTATTGTTACACAAGGATGTGTGTGTGTGGATGTGTTTAACTAGAAGTCCCCACAATAGTAAATGGAATAAAAAAATGACCAACTGGGGACATTATGTTAGTCCCCACAAGGTCAAATGCTATTTTAAGGGGTTTATAGTTAAGGTTAAAATTAGTGTTAGGGTTAGGGTAGGAGCTAGGGTTAGGGTTAAGGTTAGGGTTAAGGTTAGGGGTTAGGGAAAACAGGATTTTGAATGGGACTGAATTGTGTGTCCCCACAAGGTTAGTTATACAATACTGTGTTTGGTGTGGTGGTGTGTGTGTGTGTGTGTGTGTGTGTGTGTGTGTGTGTGTGGTGCGTGCGTGCGTGCGTGCGTGCGTGCGTGTGTGTGAGAGAGAGAGAGAGAGCCCACAAAATGAGGTGGAAACTGAGGTGCACTTCCTAACCACCTGCATTACATTTTAGTCATTTAGCAGATGCTCTTATCCAGAGCGACTTACAGTTAGTGAGTGCATACATTTTCATACTGAGAGAGAGAAGTGAGAGAGAGAATGAGAGAGAGAAGCAAGTCAAGAGATATGCATACACTATTCTTGATTAGTCATAATAGCTATGTAGATATGCAGATAATATAATACTGAATGACTACTGAAGAAGGTCTAATTTACTGATAAAAAGGTTTATCGGTCCGTGCCATAGACATTAAAACCAAGGGTCAGTGCAGTGACGCGCCAATTCAATTTGGCGTTCAGCGTGCACTCACTGCGTGGGACGTAGCCAGCTAGTAGGAGGAGTGATCTCTAGTGAGTTGGGCCTGGGCAAGACCTGCTAAGGAGAGAGAGCACTGCAGGCAGCGTGGTCCAGTCTGTAGCTGACACCCGGGAAAAAGTTACTTTGAGTGCGAAAGAGCCACCGAAAAGATGTCTGGAGACGACGAGCCACAAGAGCAGACCATCGCCGATGACTTGGTCGTCACCAAGTACAAGATGGGGGCCGAGATTGCCAATCGTAAGTGAATATGAATATATATTTAATGGAAGATGGAAGATGGAAGAGTTTAGACGTGATAGTCCGCTGGCTAATGTGCTAACGCTAGCTCAGCTATCACAATGCAGCCATGTGCTGTGTTGCTAGCAGCTAGCGATAAATCAATGACAACGTCTCCTCGGGGCTAGCGTTTGGCCTGTGTAGGTGTCTTAAGCAATAGTTCTGTCAGTCTCGTAGATATCGTAGTATGAGTTAGCATATTATTGCGAACTAATAGTAAAAGTAGTCTATACATGCACTTATGTAGCTAACTGGTACCTAGCTAAATGCTACGTTAGCTAACTGGTAAGCAAACTACCGTCTGAATAAGTTCGCTATGATACCGTTGCATTTAGCTAGCTACTATTTTCTAAGTTTAGTTAGTTAGGTAATTGCCAACGAGTCATTTTCACTGTCATGTTTGCCAACTTACTACCGGTATTTAAAACAAACAGGTCGTTTGCACCGCTCATATCTTAACATACTCGCGCATGTCAATAATCTTGAACTGTTACTGTAACAAGTGAATCGTGTTCTCTGTGAAGCCTTGGGTGGTCGCTCATTGTATAGGGTTAAGGGCCATCAGCATCTGTCAGTTTAGTGACAATGTATTGCCTCAGACCTGCAACGCAGTAACACAGCTATACTCCCTGTGCATCCAGATATAGGTACTGTGTATATATACACTTATTCCCTGTGCATCAAAATTGAAGACCTGCCTGCAGTGTGTTCGTAGGAATGTATGTAAATCCAGATAATCCCACATAATGCTCCTGGGAAGGGATCGTAATGTACTTTGCTTAAATGACAATCATATTTGCCCTATGGAAGTGGTTATTGGACCAGCAGATCTACATTTTTACATTTGAGTCATTTAGCAGATGCTCTTATCCAAAGGGACCTAAACATTTTACAAATCTACAAGTGACAATATCCACGGCCTTGCCTTATGTGTATCTAGGTGTCCATCTCCTGGTCCTAATAGTAAATACCTGAAGCTTACCTACCTAACCTCATGTTCTGTCCTCCTGTGTCTCTTCCTGTCTACTCCAGAGGCCCTGAAGACTGTGGTGGAGGCTGCCAAGGCAGGGGTGACTGTGGTCAGCCTCTGTGAGAAGGGAGATGCTTTCATCATGGCAGAAACTGGAAAAGTCTTCAGGAAGGAGAAGGATCTGAAGAAAGGTATGGGCCTCATCTCATTGGTTAAGTCAATGAGTTGTGTTGACATCATGAGTCATGACAGAGTGAAGTGAAGTAGCTCTTGTAGAGTTTTGTAGTTGACTTTTTTCATTGCAGGAAAGTTTAGTGTTTGGGGGAATCTCAAGTCTTTTCCTCGTTTACTCATATCCTCTCTCCTTGTGTCCTCAAAAGAGAGGGAAGCGAGGAGAGAGGACACAAGGAATCAAAACACTTTTTATATTCTTTGTTGTGCAGAAAGTTACTTTCTTACATTATTAATGTAAATAAATGTCTGTACTTTTTGCCTCCCTCAGGCATTGCGTTCCCAACCAGTGTATCAGTCAACAACTGTGTGTGTCACTTCTCTCCCCTGAAGAGTGACCCTGAGATCACACTGAAGGACCGGGACCTCGTCAAAATGTAGGAACAATATATCTCTGTCTGTATGGAACTTTTATGGCCGACTGTCTCATGGGCAGCTGTTATTGGATGAATCTTTGCCTTCTCTGTATGGGACCTGTATGGCTGTCCCTGTTCAACTGTTGGGGCACTACCCTTCCCATGTCAGTGCATGGGCCAGTCTGATGGTCTTGAGTCTCTGTGCCTATCCTTCATGTGTTGCTTGTTGTTTTTGCCTGTGCAGTGATCTGGGGGTGCACGTCGATGGCTTCATTTCAAACCTGGCTCACAGCTTTGTGGTGGGAGTGACCAAGGTAGTAGACCATTGTTGTTTGCAGTGACGGCATCAGGATCATTAGCAAGAGTGCAGATGATGTTGATAATATGTTCTGTCTCATACAGAATGCCAGCATACAGATATTCACAGAGACGGATGTTCAGCACATGAAACATTACATGCATAGTGCAACAGTCATGTAATGTTAGACACACAAAGGATTCAGGTAGACAGCCATCTAGTACATGGAAAATACAACACATGTGCGTAATGTATTTTCCTTTGTAATCAGTTGCTATATTATTTCACCTTCTCATCCTCTGTTTTTGCTCCATCAGGATGCTCCCTTGACAGGGCGTAAGGCTGACGTTATTAAAGCGGCACACCTATGTGCCGAGGCTGCCCTCAGACTGGTCAAGCCTGGAAACCAGGTGAGGTGATTAGCTAGCGCTTTACTGAGTGGACAGTCAGGGGACTAGCCTGGTCCCAGATCTGGTTGTGCTCTATAGCCAACTCCCATGGTGCAGTTGGCTATACAGCACAAACCGAGCTGGGAACAGGCTTATTAGGGATGCAGTGACAAGTAAAAAAAAAAAAAAAAGAAGCTTGACAAACAAATATACTTGGTATCATTGTAATGGTACAGTATTTCCATCAGTGTAATTATAGCTCTTTAACGTTTAGGATGTCTGTCTCTCTCGTTCAGAACTCACAGGTCACAGAAGCCTGGAACAAGATTGCCAAGTCATTCAAATGCTCAGCCATAGAGGGTGAGTCACTCCTTTTCATTTAACATACTTGGCACCTCAGTGCCACATTGATACACGATACATTCAACCCCCTACGTCTTGTACTGGTAACTTGCCAAATCACATACCCTGACTTTTTTTCAAATGTTACTCTCTCTCCTCAGGCATGCTTTCCCATCAGTTGAAGCAGCATGTTATTGATGGAGAGAAAACCATCATTCAGAACCCCACGGACCTGCAGAGGTGAGTGAGAGACATTAACCATTTAATATTAGTCCCAAGACCTCTGGCTTGTTTAGTTTTACTTGTAAGATGCATATCTGTTATTGTTTGTTGTATGTATCTGAGGCACCGCTCTAGCCCTAATAGTAATTGCTCTTGGGACAAAAAGTTTTATTGAATTATGAATGGCCTTGTTTCTCTCACACTGTGTGCGTGTAGGAAGGACCACGAGAAGGCAGAGTTTGAGGTACACGAGGTGTACGCTGTGGATGTGCTCGTCAGCACCGGAGAAGGCAAGGTGAGGACAAACATTCACTCAACATTCCAGTCGCGTGAGGCTCAAACCCCTTGATGGGTTGTGCTAGAATCTATTAAGTTATCACAGTCAGGAGCAGCAAAACAGTGAGGGGACATTATGCATTGAATTACTCTATTGTCCATCTCCTGTCATCACTTTGTATATGCTTTAAACCCCCTTCCTTTCATTGCTCTAACTTCCCATGTGTTCTACTCCACTACAGGCGAAGGATGCAGGCCAGAGGACCACCATTTACAAGCGGGACCCAGACAAGCAGTACGGGCTGAAAATGAAGACATCCAGAAGTTTCTTCAGTGAGGTGGAGAGACGCTTCGATGCCATGCCCTTCACTCTCAGGTAGCACATCAGCCGCAGGGAGCGTACTTTTACCTACAATGAATATCATACTTTTACCTACAATTAATATTATATTTTTACCCAGAACACCTTAAATGTCAACTAGGGAAATTGAGGTTGTTCAAATTGATCAATTGAATAAGGCACAATATAGTTTTTTCCCGATTTAGACTATTTGATCCAAAAGACTACATCCATTTGCTCTCATTCACCCCCAACTGATAATGCTTAATTATGTTTTTTGGTTTCCTCAGTTGTAATGCCTATTAGATATGTGATGTTTTGGTCCTCTATTGCCTTTTTTTATATTCTCCCCCCCTCTCCCTCGGTCTCTCTTTCTCCCGTTCTGTCTCTCAGGGCGTTTGAGGATGAGGGCAAGGCCAGGCTGGGTGTGGTGGAGTGTGCCAAACATGAACTGCTGCAGCCCTTCAACGTTCTGCACGAGAAAGAAGGTGAGTTGGAAGATCTAACCATACAGAGGCTATGCATTTAGGCTAAAGTACTGTACGTTACGGTTCGTGAAAATGTGTCAGATAATCCTTTAAGGGATGTGAAGGTGACTTGAAACGCAAATGAAATATTTCTTCATTGATTCAGTTCACCACTTTACCAGTCCAAATGAAAGTGTCATAACCAAATTGTTATAAGCCTAAACTTAATGGCTTTTTTTCTGTGTGAGAGTCTAGGCGAGTTTGTTGCCCAGTTCAAGTTCACTGTGCTGCTGATGGCCAACGGACCCCTACGCATCACCACAGGGCTGTATGAGCCGGAGCTGTATAAGTCTGAACACGAAGTGGAGGACGCAGATCTCAAGGTAAAGCAAGACAGATGGCCTACTGCTCCTACTGGGGAGCTGCACTAGGGCTTCGGGGAAACACTTATTAGCTCCCACACTGGACGTGTAACTTTTTGCCTACGTCAGCAGAGCGCAAGCCACTTTATTGGGTGTGACTTGGCTTTTTCAAAGTAATTATGTCGTTATGTCCTAAACGGACATAGTTGATTTGTTGTTGTGTTTTCTCAAAAACCAACCTTTCTTTCCCCAGGCCTTGCTCCAAAGCTCAGCGAGCCGGAAGACGCAGAAGAAGAAGAAAAAGAAGGTAGGCTAACTAAAAGGTTGCAGGTTCGAATCCCCGAGCCGGCAAGGTAGAAAAATCTGCCATTCTGCCCTTGAGCAGAATGGCAAACAACAACTGCTCTCCAGGGTGCTGATGACATGGACGTTGATTAAGGCAGCCCCCCGCACCCCTTATTCAGAGGGGTTGGGTTAAATGTGGAAGACACATTTCGGTTGAATGCATTCAGTTGTGCAACTGACTGTGTCCCCTTCCCCTACTATTTAATGTAAATACATCCTGGTCTCCCTTGGGAAAGAGGTTTTCTCACCTCAATGGGACTTCCTTGTTAAATACATTTAAAAAGGACACATGTTAATGTGATGTAAATACACATTTTATAAGAGTTTTGCCTCAATCCCTCAACCCACTTTTTCCCCTTGTGACAAGGCTTCAAAGACTGTGGAAACTGAAACGGCACCAGGACAGCCAGCGCCGGAGGTCAAAGAGACTGAAGCTGCAGAATAAAACCTTGCACCCCCTGACCTAGTCTTCGTCTCCCAATAATACTGACAGACATTTGACAACTGACCAACCCAAAGAACAGAACAGATGTCAAGACCTTCCATCATGCGCTCCTGTCCTGAGATGCCAGCCTTGCAGTGCGGCCTAGCCTTTTGTGATAAATACCTCCAAATGTGAACTGATGTCAGACTGTACAGGGGATGGTGCTGACCCTTCTAAATTCAAATTATGTCACATCCCATTTCAATCTCACTGTCCTTGAGACAGCAGGGTTCTCCCCAGAATAGTAACCACTAAGTGACACCTAGAGGGATATTGAGTAGTAGAAGGGCATTTTCCTGAGTAGACTCTGTGGGAGACACGTTTTTACCATACAGTCGTTGAGCCTTGGGACTGTAATGAAAGTCAACAGTGAATAATAAAATATATGAAAGCAAAGCACGACAGTGGAGGGTATGATACGATTACACTGCGCCAATGATTATTCTGAAGGAAAACCTTTGCCGTCATAACCATGGATGTCAGTGTGTGTATTAGTGAATTAAATGTGTAATAACTTGAACCCTCCATTAAACCTACTTAAAGCTATTCTAAACATATGAAAGACCTTATAAACAGCCATGCTAGCAAATGACGGCTGACTACGTTGCGACTCGAATCGTTATGTACAGTAGATAAGCAAATTCCTTAGGGGCGTACCTAGCTATTTATCTTACCAACTGTTTGTAACAACTGCCTGAAGTCAGTTTCTATGGATATGTCCCCTAACAGGACTACATATTACATTGATTTTTCGAACAGGGAATCGGATAAGGGGCTTGCTCTACGCACCACACACACAAAAAAATTTTTTTTGTCATTGTTATGCCCAATGATGAAGGGTTCAAATGTTCACATTATTAAATGATTTGTTATCTATACGACCGCCATAATTCAGTTCATAATACACTGGTACTGCCAATTCGTCAATGAATTGAACCTATATTAGTCAGTGTTTACATCCGTTTCCATAGTTGTTTAATACCTGATACTTAATTGTAAAATAAATCATCCCAGTTTCTGGCTATTTTTAGATTCATTTTTACTAGAAACATTACCAAGGCGGCATCAAATAACACAACTCTATTATATTGAGTTTGGGTATGAGGCAACTGACCAAAGGACTAACTAACCAACTGCCGCACCACTAGTTATTGTGGGGTTTTCGTTCTGAATAGGATATTAGAGGGAGAGATCATCCCATCATTGTGGGAATGTTTCTTACTAGGTTGATTACTTTCTAAGTTTGTTCTCATGAAAGAAATGTATCCTCTCTTGTATTGTAAATGTGTATGGATATAATTCTTCAAAAGTCTTTATTTAGGAAGTAATAGAAGTCTTCCCAATAAAATTTGGTATTTTGGAAGCCCTTTGAAATTGTCATTAGCAAAGTATGTCAGAATTACAACCCATTTCAGTGTAACTATTTTTAAACACATTTTATCTGCATACTTGACTGAAATGTAAATGTTTTCATATAATAATTATATGAATAAGATCTACAGTCTTGTCCCATCGCTGCAACTCCCGTACGGACTCCGGAGAGGCGAAGATCGAGAGCCATGCGTCCTCCGCACTGCTTCTTGACACTGCTCGTTTAACCCGGAAGCCAGCCGCAGATATGTGTAGGAGGAAACACCGTCCAACTGGCAACCGGGTCAGTGTGCATGCGCCCGGCCCGCCACAGGAGTCGCTAGAGCGCGATTGGACAAGGACAACCCCGGACGACGTTGGGCCAATTGTGCGCCGCCTCATGGGTCTCCCCGTCGCGGCCGGCTGCGACGGCCCTAGCACTGCGACGCAGTGCCTTAGACTGCTGCGCCACTCGGGAGGCTGGGTACTGGTGTCTTGCGGAATAATTTTAGAACTCTATTTGGTTTTATAACTGTTTTTATTATAGGGCTCCCCTTAAAAAGAGAACCCTAGCTCACAGGCCTCTAAATATAGCCTCTAAATAATGTTTTCACTAAATTGTTGAAGAAGCACATGCAGTGGGTGATAGGGAAAACAGATCTGGCAATAAGAATAGGCTATAGATAGTCTTGACCATTTGGGACCCCTTGGCTATTTCGCTCAGGATAGGTTATAGCCAAGACTTAATCAATATTTTGTCTTGTCCCATTTATTGATATGGATATAGCCTCTGCATGATGGGGTTGTGCAACGTAAATGGCTATAACAAGCCTACATACAGAGTGGAATTCACTAATACAACAGTCAAAATGCCTAATATAAGGCCTACAGTCTGTGCTCCCAAATACTGGAAAAAGTGTGATTCATTAGGTTACATGATCACCACAATAAATAACACAACAGTATGGCATATTTAGATGGCGAAATAAGCCTAAATCATATTTACTGTCTATTTTGCAGCTCAAGCGGTTACTCTAGACAAGGCTCTTCTGTCATTATCATTCTCACAAAAGTCATTGCTGAAGGCCCAAGCCTATACTACGCCATCTACTGGTATAACGTCGTTATTGAATGCAGCTCTACAACAAGCTGTAGACTTTATTTTGGAATTGAAACTGGAAGCTGCAAAGCAACTAATGTCTGGGCTAGAGTAGCTTGATTCGACTAGCTACATTCGGTTCATGTCCTTTGCAGATGCCACATTACTGAAAAAAGTGTGGACATAAAAAAAGATATGTAACTGGGTAAAGGGAGAAGTAAGGTAAATGTTAATTCATAGTCGTAACGTTTACAGATCTAATTTAACGTTTACGTTTCATGCATAGCTTTTCTTACGATCCTAACAATTTACATATGGATTTTCTTAACGATCCTAACGATACGTACGTTCAACCTTTTGGCAGCTATCTCACGCTATACAAGCACATCAAACCACACCGGAAACCAATTTATGTTTGAATTCAGTCATGGCCTCTAGCATGACCCAATTTAAAACAAGGCCAAATCAGGAAATGCAGTTGGTGTCTTTAAAAAAGTACTGATTTGTCTAGGGGAGAATCTCAATTGCATTCTCTCCTGTCTTCTCTCCCTGCCTCCTTCTTCTCAAAACCCGTTGGTCTTCTCTCCTCCCCTTTGACTTCTCCTCTAATTGGTTTCGAGAAGGAGAGTGGACGCGAGGACTATGTAATTGAGATTCTCCCCAGGTCTTGGGACAGTCCAGAGACACATGATTGATGAAATCTACATATCCCTGAATTTATGAGCGTCCAACAGTGATGACGTAATTTCAGTGTATAAATAACCAATCGAACGCTGGTGACGTTCTTCTTGGAGACGGTGCCATCTGGTAGAGGTACGTTGAACGCAGAACCCAAAACGTTTTGTATTTTCTCATATGTATCCAACGTAATCCTTAATAACAAAAAGGCATCCAACTGATCAACCTTTCTGTCCCTTTGCTTTATAGACACCCCTCAACGACATGAGGGCCAAGGTGAGTTTTATCCCCTCGAAACGGTTGATTTGTAGCCATCTTCCTTGTTGCTATGTTAGCTAACTATACTTTTCTAGCTAGCCTGCAAAGTTACCTGCGACAACCGCACACATTTTAAATTTAGCTATCAACCAGCTACATATTTCAACTACATTGATGATTGATTTCGGTGTACAGGCTTGTAATAATTTCTAAGACAACTGAAACATTAACATTTTTAAGTGTTCGAAACACTGACTTATCTGCTAACAAGTAATTGTCAGCGACCATCCACTAAAGACTTCACATCCGAAACAGTTTGGAACAATTCGTGCATATATTACGACATTTTGAAGTCTATCTCCGGTAAGGTTTTTGTCGGCTGTTTGTGCACATTAGATTTGTTTTGCTTTCTCTAGGCAAGCCGAATTTCGTTAGGCGAAGACTACGCTCCTTCGTCAGTCATTGGTCAACAGTAAGGATTCTGCAGTGACGTTTTTGTAGTCCTACGATAGACTACTCGTTCCATTTTTTTTCACTTGAGAAATACTGCACCAAACAACTTAGTTGGGTGTGAAATGCGCGACTAAGATCTCCTTGGCAGCCAAGCTTGACAAACTGTACGATTGCCACGTTTTTCAGGTTATGGTCTTTCTAAGGGAGTATGGGAGCACGCTCGTTCAGATAGGCGAAGCCTTAACGTTAACTATGTTGGCCAATGGCACTAACTAGCCAAGTAGGTAACTGCAGACGAACCACAGAAATAGACTGTCACATGACTGGCTAGCAAGTAATCTAATTCTGTAGTAAACATTGGGATATGTCTTGTCAGTATCACCTGTCCTGGGTCATTACTGTAGCCAACTATTGTGCAATTCTAGCTAACTTGATGTAATATTTTCACTCACAGGCCCCTTAAAATGTGGGTGTGCATGACTGTAATGTCCCTTCTCGACCTGAGCATATGTTGACCATGGTGGTAGAACTTTATTGACGACAATTTGCTGTATATGCCTATTGGGTGTTGCCAACCATGCTTCTGAAATTAAGTGTTGGAACAAATCACTGCACCCTAGTTAAACGGTTTGTCAATATCTGAAAGTAGCTAATGTTATCACGTCTAACATCGCTCCCTCTGTTCTCTCTTCCAGTGGAGAAAGAAGCGTATGCGCAGGCTGAAGCGCAAGAGGCGAAAGATGAGGCAGAGGTCCAAGTAGACTGCCACCCCACAACACCATGGCTGTGACCGTCCTTCTGGACAACACTGGACCAAGGATCTCCTGTGCAAAGTCTGATCAGAGCTGTGCCATCCATGCCAATGAGTCTCGATCAAGAGACTCCACCTGCCTGGGAGATTTGATATGGGGACACTCTAGATTCTCTACTCTTCTACCAAACCTACTACATTGTTTTTGTTTATACTTTCCCAATAAAGTTTCTGGTTTAAAGTTGACTTTGTTGCTTCTGAAACTGGGTCCAAAATGTAATTCCTACCATGCTGCAACTTCTCATTATGGCTGACCAAGTTCAGTTCTGTAGACTAGTCATATCAAACATAGGTAACCCATGTGTTGATGTGCTTCCCTTTTACTGGTCTCTTCAAAGAACTAAGTTCCTCAGTTATGACTATCTGAGGAAAGGTTTTGACTGTTTTCTCTCAGCTGTTTAGTCATAGGTTGTGAGGAGACTGCATGGATTTGATTTACCTTCACGTGGGACATCTGGAGCTCTTGTATCAACACGACTGATGCATACACTTATACACCAGTGATTTAATGGGCATTCTGTATTTGGAATGGAAGGCATATGGTCTGGTGACGTATGTCCCAAATGGTTCCCTTTACTGTGCGCACTTGACCAGGACTAGTCAAAAGTAGTGCACTTTAGGGAATGGGGTGGCATTTTGGGAGTCCTCTGCAAAGGGAGACTCTACATTGAGCAGAAAGTGCAATGTTAAAATGACCTGCGTATAATATGCCATTTAGCAGACACTTTTATCCAAAGCGACTTAGTCATGCGTGCATACGTGTACTGTGCTTGACAGCCCATGGCCATGTAGCTGTATTTGTCTGAAAGGATGTGCCTCAGTCAAACCTGCCACTCATGTCTGTCCTGTCAACTGCTCATTATCTAAATATATGGCTCTGCTGTGACTAAGTTGTGGTATCACAGCAACAAGGTAAATTGACTGAACATTCTCATTTAAAGCAATGACCTGGGAAATGGTTAAAAGGGGGATGAATGAGCCAAATGGAAGCTGTGAATGATTAGGTGGCCATGATGGTATGAGGACTAGATTGGGAGTTTTGCCAGGACACCGGAGTTAACACCCCTACTATTACCGTAAGTGCCATGGGATCTTTAGTGACCACAGAGGCAGGACACCTGTTTAATGTCCCATCTGGCACCTTACACAGGGCAATGTTCCCAATCACTGCCCTGGGGCACTGAGATATATATTTTGCTTGATTGAAGTATCTAAATGACTAAAATGTATCCCTGGATACCTGGCTGTCTCTAAGGACATTTCTGTAGGGAAAAACCTGTCATTGCACATTAGGTAGCCCATTCATGTATAGAATAATGTATTGTAGCCAATGGTTTAAACTTAACACTATGTAAACGTAGGCCTGTACAAAATGTAGGCCTTCATTTTGTTATAAAGTTAATCTGAAAAATAAAACCCCACTCCAACTCAAAACCTACAATTGTCAAGAGCAAACCGGTTTACACTGGAGTCAAAATGGTTTGATCTCGCTGGCACTGTCTTGTATTTACAGGCTGTTCAAATAGATGTCAGCCAAGGATACTGGTGGCATGTAAACAAGTGATAGCCTTTGGTTTGAAAATAGGTGGCCTATTTTGTAGGACATTTTCTAACCAGATGGCTGTCTTGAGGTTCAAATAAAATGAAAAATATAGGCTATAAGTAACATATAAATGCATAGGCTATATGTTTTTCCCATTTCAAATGCATGTTAGACT